TTTTATTATAATTTGTGATGAAAATATGAGGATTTGCTGCTACTGTCCGTTGTCATTAATATACGATAATTTATTCTCATGTACTTTGTATTTAGTTTGTGAAATTCTGTGCTATCAATAAAACTCATATACCTAAAGTTATTAATTTCTCATTTTATCCGGCCCGTTGAAAGTGCTACATTACCTAATGTGGCCCACGGTTTGAAAAGTTTGCAGACCCCTGGTCTAAAATTTAACATGGAAAATGTTAAGTATATGTTCATGTCTTTTCATCAGAATGCAGAACACAATCACACTATTAAGATAATTAATAAATCCTTTAAAAATGTGGCAAACTTAAAATATTTGGAAATGATAGCAATAAATTAAAACTGCATTCATGAATGAATTAACAGATCTGTTTCAGGGAATACTGTATGTTAAACCCTTTCAAGCTCTGAGAAGCTGCACTTTTTGTGGATGTGAGTGACATGTATATGAACAAATGATATTTGCATACACAATGTCAACAATCTGTCACCTAACAGGAATTGTACTAGCATGCAGCGAACTTCAACCCACCCAGTTATGGTATTGGCAGTGAATGTGTCAGGCTGTATTACTTCCTTCTGTATGTGACCTTACTACCTGACTGCTGCTTTACGTTCTTTTTCAGATTTCACGAAATGTTCAGTATAGTGAATGCTTACCATGCCATCCCATAGAGTATGGAAAGGATGTGTAGAACAGATTATCATATTTTGAAGTGAGCACCTTGATGATGGCTGCAAGACTGTCCCGCTGGTTGCCATTCAAATCAGTGAACCGTTTCAAGTGGGCTTTTGGAAGTAACATAGTCTCATATGGCCATACAGCCCAGTAAGGCACGACAACCACCCAGTCAGCATTCTCAGTCACAATTCGTTCCTGTAATATTAATAATGCAGGAGATGGATCTTTAAAACCAAACTGTGAACATTTGAGTGATGGTGACACTTAAAGAAGTAACTTCTGTGCCTGTTCGTTACAGACAAACAGTAGGTACAGTATTTTAAATATATTGGTGCTGTATGAATAAAGTATTAAACAGTTATTGCATGATACCTTTGTATTCTGTGTCTAAAACGTATTTGAGGGTGCGTCATCATGAGGTGGTGATGCAGATTGTTTTGTCATTAGAAAGTTTCTAGGTTCTATTTTTAACAATTGATGGGAACCACACCAGACATGTCATTGAATGCACAAGACTTTTTCCTTCCTTAAGGTTGGCTAGTCAAGATATGATGTACCCTCAAAGATGTTGTAGACACAATACTGTCTGTTGTTCCATCATTGTTAACTTTATTAACCTGTTCACAGCTATATTTTGGCCATTTAGAAATTAGCCCATGCTATTTCATCATGTGCAGGCAGGCATACATGCCATTAAAATTATATTTTTATACAAATTGGGCTTCTTAGGGCATTTCTTTGTCATGGCATTTGAGTAAATAAAACAAAACAGTCTTATGAAGTTCTCTCTTTTGGGGGGGAACACTGTGTAGTTGATCAAAGTCAGCCAATGTTTCAAAGGAACATGTTTCTGTCTTCAGGTTCAAAGAATAAGCCAAGTAAGAAACAAGCATGTAACAGGTAGCAAGCAGAGCTTGATTCACACTACTTTCCTACTTGGCTTATTCTTTGAACCTGAAGATGGAGGTGATATGTTCCTCCAAAACCCCGGGTGACTCTGAATGGACTGCACAGTGTCATATCTCAGAAGATAGAACTCTTCATACCTACTGCTGTAAGAACCTCAAATCCTATGAAACAGACTTCAGTTTGGTAAAACATGAAACACACTTTTCTACATGGTCAGACTATCATGTCGATAAAATTGAAAGCATTAACAAGTATTGTTTTGTTTTGTAGTGGTTTTCTATTTTGTTTAAAGTGTTGTGAGCTCTCAGAAAAGCAGATGCAATTACATTCAGATATGAAAGTTATCTGTAAAATGCATTCCAATGACCAGTTAACTTTATTTTTGATCATATGTTGTTTTGTTATCTTTCCTACATTAATGTCAGCCAAGAAACTGAATGCATACACAACACACACTTTTATGTATACATCTTACGAAGAGATCAAGTAGTAGGAAGGGCATTTAAGAGTAAGGGTCCAGTACCAGAATATCTCATTCACAAATGTTAGAACTTATGGGTCTGATAAAGTCTCACAGATGACTGATGTGTTTTAAATGGAAGTTTATGTGTCAAGCTATAAATTAAGTAGCCAAATAGCTGTATATATATATAAGTATGATATTTGCTGTCTAAACACTGTTTAAAGTATACTACATTGTAATATCTCATATTGTTTACACATAAATGGTGCCATTGTAATTTATAATTTATCAGTAAGGGCAAAGGTAAGCCGATCACAGTGGCCGCGTGGTCTAAGGCATGAACTGTGTTTGCCTGCTCAAACACTGGGATCGTGGGTTCGAATCCCACTTTAGGCATGGATGTCTGTTTGCATTTATTCTGTGTTTGTGGTGTCCTGTGTGTGCAGGTAGCGGCCTTGTGATGGGCTGATCCCCTGTCCGAGGAGTCCTACTGACTGTGTAAAAGCTCAAGAAACTGAAAAGTGGCCAAGGTCCAACAAAGGGCTGTTGAGCAATAGATAGATGGGTGGGTGGGTAGATTAGATAGATAGATTAAATACACAGATAGGTAAAGTTAAAGTTGTACCTGAGCTTAATTAATTAAGCACAATGCCATGAAGATGTATGATGGAGTGGTGGTATAGCTCCACCATTCTTGATCTCAAAACTAAATGAAGTGAGTGGTCAGCTTCACAGCCCAGGCCGTTTTACCCATGAGAAAAAAACTCCTGGTACCCATTGGATTGGAGGCTGGGTGGATCCTAGAGCCAGTGTGGATGCTCTGGAGTAGAGAAAGATCTCTTGCCCCTATCAGGAATCAAATCCTGACCATCCATCCCAAAGCTCATCACTATACCAACTGAGCTGTCCTGGCTTCTTTTAATATATCAGTATAAAACTTATGTCCCAGGTGACCAGATCTAAGAGTTTCTTGAAAACCACGATATTAACTGTGCAAGTTTTGCTGTTAATGATTGTTCTTTTATATACATAGTACATAGAAATTGGCACATCTAATTTAATATTACAATATTATATGGTAGCATTCTGTTGCACTTTTCAGTTAGTTCCACAGTCTCACGTGCAACACTAAACTTTTAATAAGTTTTACAGAACATTAGTGTTACATGTGAGACTATTCAACTTAGTGATATTACATCTAATTTAGTTTCTTGGACTGAGTCTTTTACTTAACCTTTAATTATGTAGTCAGTTCAAGAAACTTTTGTACTGCATGGATCATGCTACTATAATGCCTCTTGTTTGTTTCGTCTCAAATTATATTATTCAGCATGTTGGTTGCTATTACAGAAGTAAAAAAGCATATTCCTCAAGGTACAAAAGTATAAAGATAAAGTGCTGACCAGCGAATGTCTTGATCTCTAAGATGTCAATCTGTAAGGCTGATTATGCAAAATTAATGCTGGTACAGAGAAAGAATTTTCACCTTTGTAGCACACATTTAGAAAATCTTTCTTGCATAAATAGGGCACATAGTAGCGTAGGTGGTTGAGGTACTGTGCTAAAAGCCAGAAGGTCATGGGTTTGATACCTGACGTTATTGGATTTCTCAATTGATGTAATCCTTCCAGTCGCACTATGGCCCTGGGGTCGACTCAGCGTCTAACAGAAATGAGTACCAGGAATCTTCCTGGGGGTAAAGAAGAGCTGGCACATAAGGCTGACAACCTTACTGCCATCTGTGAGCCGAATGTCCCAAAAAAATGTGAGATCCTCAACGTCTCAGAACCCTATGGACCTCCATGGCCTGTTACAGGGACAGCTTTAGTGCATAAATCTCTGGGCTGCATCCTCACCTTTTTCTCTAATTCCTTTGCAACATAATCCATAAGCAAGGGTCGCTTAAATTTCTTGTAGTACTCAAGCTGATAGTGTTCCTTGATGCGCGGTTCATTTGGGAAGAAAGACGAGGCCCAAATCTGACAGTGAGGATGTGGGTTAGAACAACCCATGATGGCACCCTTATTCTCAAATATCTGGACCCATATGTACTTGTTACCAAGTTCAGTGAGCTCTTCAATCCATCTACAAGCAAATACAGCATGTCTGCAGAATCTGAAGAAAGAACTGTAGTATATGTTGGATTCGTTTTGTAGGTTAATGTTATATTGCAGCATCCTGTTGCACTGCATAGATCTGATTTTGCATTTTGCCTTTATGCCGTCAATGTGCAACTTCCATTACTATTCACTAGTCATTTTCCTTCATTGACATTACATATTTAGGCGTAACCGGCCATCTTTAGGTGTACAGGTTGCTGTGATTATTGAATCTGCTGTTCATTGTAAAGATGTTTTGTTTCTCTTACGTGGTTGCCTCAGTTTACTTCTGGTTATATATGAGCAGCTCAAGGGCACCAAAATCAAAATAGATGGTTAACCCATCTGAGGAAATCACATAAGACAAACAAAGCAGCTTTACAGTGAGCAGCAGATTCCTCAATCACAACAACCTGTACAACTCAAGATGGTCAGTTAGGCCAAAACATGTAATGTCAATGAAGAAAAACGATGAGTGCATAGTGTCACATGTACAAGGTAAGTGTGACCAATAATAATGGGTTCTGGATTTCATGATTGGATTTACTGGCATTTCTTTACAATTACTGCCAATTATAACAGCTCACACATTGAA